AGACCAGAAGACCACAGCTAGTCTCAACATTAAGGGTAGGAAGAGGAGTGATTTGAACCTTTACACTGTATTAAGAAATGTCTATATAGTGTTTGAAAACAGACCATTTTCTTCCATTTTGTATTTGAACATTTTGTATTAGTATATCTAATTACTACAGATAAAGCATTGTTCAGGCAAAATCCCAGATTACTGCAAACACTGATGCTGAATTGGTAGGAAAATTATTTGTGTTACAATTTGATCAGAACTTGTCCTTTCTGTTTGTGAGTGTGTTTCACTGTCTTCTTTCTGTTTGTTGTCTCCAAAAATGTCAGTGTTCTTTGTGGATGTTGTATGTCAGATTCATCAGATTTTGTCCTTGACATTCTATGTGCGGAATCTATTGTTGTTGTTGTTTGGATGGTGGATGCAGTTTCCTGAAACACTTTTCTGCAGTGTCATCTGTGCTGTGTTAGAATATTTGAATTTTGACCTTTTCTTTGGAGGATAATTCATCAATTCTATCATTTCTTTCTGTGAATTTTAGAAAAAAAACCCACAAAGGATGCAGGTTTTTTTGTTGTCACAGTTGGGATGCTGTTCTTTTGTGTGTTCTATGTGCTCCTGATAATGTATGTATGCTGGTCCATAAACCGTATTTGTCTTTGTGATCAGAGGAGCCAGTCTTTGTGTTGTGGTTTCAACAGTGTTATGGTCCTTGTTGATTCCTGAAATTTGTTGAGCCAGGTGATATTTAGTTTTCAGTCATTATGGTGAAGATATATAAATTATCATTTATCTTTCAGCAATTTGTGTTCAAATTGTTGTTTTTTTTAGCTGTGAAGCTGTCAGCTCCTCTTTCATCTGATAAATTGGAGTATAAAAGGCAGGAGACCAAGGAAACAATCGGAGGTATGAAAGGAAGATGGCTGGCTAGACTTGAAGCTTTATGTGCTGTATCCATCTTGATAATGGTCTTTGTGTTGTCATGTGCCGCTTTTCCTTAAATTGGCCCCGTACCTTTGTTGCTTAAACACTACAATAAGTGCTCCTGTGGCATCATGACTTTGTAGTTTACCAGATGTTAAAGTTTGTGGCATCAAATGTTGCTTTTTTCTGATAATTGGATGGACTTTGAATTTTCGCGTCAGTGTTTTATTTGCATTGTATGTGGCAAAACCAGCAAATGTAAAATATAGAAAGAAGAAACTCTTTTATTTGTGCCACATGTGCCGGTAGCATGTTGACAGTTTGATAATGTCATTAGCTCAAGTTTATACTGTGTAATTTATTTGTGTGTTGCATGTTTCATTGTCATTTGTGTGGTTTGAGGAGATTTAAGGTCTTTGAATTTGTGGCAGTTATAGAGGAAAAAATTATTATTGATAATTTTGATCATATAATTAAATATAATATATGTTAAATACTGCCATCAGTCACTTACTGTATTTCTATGCCATGCTTTCCATAGCTGCTAAAGACAATCAAATCAGGCAGGAGATCCGAGAAACCGTGGAAGGTAATTTTCTGAAGCTTGTCTGTTAAGCCCATTTGTATTTGTAATTAATCAATGTGTGCAATGCAAGGCTTTGTTGAATGGAAGCCAAACAGAATTGAAAGAGAGAAAGTGTCAGAGTCTTCGATGGTGGTCAGACAGAAACAAACTTGTTATGTCAGCTTACATTGTGTATTGTTGCTTCAGGGATTGCTCCCCCCCCCCCCTTTGGCAACCTTTTTCCCTGTTAAATGATCTGTGTCATATTTTGGTGCTTACGCTACTTGGGTTACTGTTGCATGGAGGCTGACATATTGATATTGAGACATGGCTTTGTACCTATCAGCTGCTTAAAGATGTTTAAGACTCATTGATTATAATACACGTGTTCAATTTCACAGCTGTGACTGTGCTAACTACTGGGCAGACTCCTTCACTGCAGCTCCTCAAACAAGAGATTCAGAGGGATTCACAAGAGCGGAAAGTGGGAGGTGAAGGTAATGAGACCTGTTTGCATGGGGTTTGTTGGATACTTGGACATCTGTCAATATTGTCTACGTCTTTTACAGGAGAGAGCTTATAAGCACACTTAGAACCATAGAACTGGAAAATACATAGTCAGTAGGCGAGTCCAGATTTACTGTCTGTGCAGCTTGTTTTTCCTGCTGAATATGAAGAAGGAGGCTTTATGTTCTTATTAGCTGTCATATATGTTGCTGTAAGTTGTTGCACTTGTCTAGTTGTGTCAGTGCCTTGTTTACTGCAGGTCTGGGTTGAATGTGGAACATTTTACTGCTCTATATTTATGGCAGCACTTTGTTGGATTGTTTTTCTGTGTTTGATTGCTGATAACGATCTGTGAGAGACTAAAGGAGAGCAGCTTTAATTGTTGTAGCTTGTAGCTTTATCGATTTTGTTGCTTTTTATTTTCAGAGATACTGCTTACTCCCCCTGTGACACTTACTGGGTGGACACGAACATATTTAATATAAGGTCACAATCTATCAGTATGACAAGTTGTAAACAGGGACAGTAAGCAGGGTTAACTAGGGGATTTGGGACTGTGTGTGTTTTACAAGCTCTGGTGGACGGTATTCAGGGACTAATCACTGTAAGACTGTGAAATTAATGTCATGTCTTATCCCAGTTGAGAAGACAGCTGCAGGAGTGTCTGTGAAACAAGATACAGAGAAGCAGGGGACCAAAGAGCCAGTAAAAGGTATTGGAAGCTTCCTGCTTCCTCATTGTTTCCTGTCTTAAAGGGATAGTTCACCGAAAAATGAATAAAATGAATGAATAAAATAAATGCCCTCTGATATCTTCCTACGAGATGTGTTCACGGACCCTTGGACACACCATTGTGTGGCTATATCTGCTAGCTTAGCCACTTCCAGTGGACTTAAGCTCAAACAAAGACCTTGTTTCTACTTGAATATGAATGTCAGGGCTTGCGGATACTTGGATGACACCTCGCGAGCGTGAGGCATTTTCTGATTTTTTTATTACGTCTGAAGTATAAGTCGCCGGCTACTTCAATTGTGTCAGATTCGGTCACAACAAAGTTTACCCCTCCAAAAGTGTTTTGTGGACTCAAACACTTCACCCACCCCTCCATCGGCATAGTTGTTGGTAGATAATGAGTGAATTTTAATTTTCCGGTGAACTGCTCCTTTAAATACTCTGTTACCAGATGCAGGTGCTCTGCTGATGCTGTCTACGGTCTTTACACTTGTTATATGTTTGGCTTTAGCTGCGAGGAGTTGGAAATTGGCAAAACTAATTGAAAGTAAAATTTGTTTTTACAGCATTACATTGTATAAATAAGAAAAGATTGTATTTAATTAAACTAAATTGCATATTGTGTTAGTATCTGGCTATAGCTGCTATGTAATATTTGTCTTTGCACTGCAGTTCCTTGTGCTTTTTGGTGGAAGTGATACAATAAGTGATCAGACTGAAGAGCTAAGCAAAGCTCAGGAAGAAATTAGCCTAATATATAATGTTAGCTTACAATACAGAATTTCCATCCATGTGGTTGTGTTGGTTGCCATTTGTCACTGTGTTACTGTTGTCCCTTGGCGAGAAAGTTCTTGGTCATTGCACTGTTCAAGTCCCAGTGGTTTTTGTCTCGGACTTTGTGGCTCTAAAATTTGTGGCACGTTGCTTTTGAGCTGTTGCATTGTTCAGTCTGTTCGTGAAGATTTAAGCTGATTTGAAATCTGTTGTTTCATGTCTACAAATAACTTCAGTTACAACAGAGAAGTCATCAGTTTCAGCAATGACCTTCAAAGCTGAATCTGAGAAGCAGGAATCCAAACAGAGAGTTGAAGGTATGTTGTGGGTCAATAATCTTAAGAGTACGTTTGTAATTATTGGAAGTGGGTTTTCTGTTTTTATCCAGTACATATTTTGTTTGCTGGGTTTTTGCCAAAACACAGGCTGTGATATCAGACCGCTATGATGTGACAGAACATCTTTGTGTCTTCAAAGCTTTGTCAACAGTCTGGCTCATTTGTTCTTGTTCGCTGAAGAGTTGGAAATTGCATATTGGCAGCATCATTGAGTTACAGTCAATCAATTACTTGCTGTTGCATTCAGTATTGTTGGGGTTTTTCTTTGTTGCTTTATATTTTCAATTCCACTATCATTATTGCGTTTATGTCATTCAGTGTTTCTTACAGCAGATATTTAATTACACTAATCACACTACACCTGCAAAGATACAAACTCTTGCTGTTTCTAAAGCCAAAATCAAAAAAATTGAAATCACAATTTAAGTAAAATGAATATTTTTATATTCATATTGTTTCCTCTTTGGTGCGTTTTTTGTATGTTGTATATTTAGTCTAGCTTGTTGTTGTTCTCTTCATACTCAATTGTGAATGCCTGATATATTCTGCGTTCTGGATTGTTGTTGCCTCCAGTGAGCTGGGATTGAGAGCCTTGATAAACATTTAGGTGGCCTTGTGTTTTGAATGAGAGCAGGGATTATTGGCTGGGCATCATGCTGCTACTTGCACAAATGTATTTGTGCGTTTGTGTGTACATTTAAAAACACGGATACATACGGCTTTGATTTTTTTTACTTCAAAGCAGGTAAGTAAAAATCTGAATTTTTTTACACAATATCCACACTGCAGACTACAGTCTGCTCTGCATCTGTCCTGAAATCCTGTGGGTTACAACTGGCAAACATCTACAGCTTATTCAATGTATTCGATCCCCAGTTCTTCCAGCCACTGTCATTCAAGACCTTAAGGGCCAGGAGGCTGAGGAGGGAGGTAGTGTCACTCTGCATTGTGAGCTTTCTAAACCTGGACTCACTGTCGAATGGAAGAAGGGAAGTCAAGTCCTGACGTCTGGAGAAAAGTACCAGATGAGACAAACAGGATTCAGTTATGTGCTACAGATCCACAATTTGACACCTGGAGACACAGGAAACTATTCATGCTGTTCAGAGGACGCAATAAGCTCAGCTTCTGTTGCAGTAAATGGTAGGATGGAGACTGTGTCGTCATCGTATTCTGTCCTCTAGTCTCTTGATTCAGTCTTCTTCATTTCACTCTTTTTCTCCGTCGCCATTCTTTCTTTTCGTCCATCAGCTGCCCCAGTCATATTTACAAAAGAGCTGGAAAGTGTGACTGCTGATGAGGGGGACAGTGTCACGCTGCACTGTGAGCTTTCTAAACCAAGTGTTTCTTTGGAGTGGCTGAAAGGAGAACTTGGTCTTTGTCCTTGTGCCAAGTATGAAATTAGACAAACTGGACAAATTGCCACTTTGCTAATCCATGATGTAGATCCAGAGGACTCTGGGAGTTACACATGTGACACTGGTGGACGTCAGAGCACTGGACATCTATCTGTGAAGGGTACGCCTGTTAGAAACTATAGTTTGCAGTGGAGATACTTGATTTGCATTTGTAACTAGTAAGACCTTTTATTTCTGTAAATAATACACATTGAATATTAGGTGCTTCCACTGCCTCTACCTCATCTGATCCTCATCTGATACATTAATGGTTAAAATCAAACACACAGGAGAGGCTTCTTGTTACTTAAGGTGTAACTAAACCCCTAAACCAATGTATTTGTGTATTAGTAATTAACTGATTGATTTAGGTCCATATCATAACATTTTAGTGCGAAGACTTCGAATTGTACACTTTGTATGGTAAATATGTGTCAATCACCACCCCTCGTATGAAAAACCGACAACAGACACTAGTAGACAGAGGAGTCTGACGATCTGATTCTGCAGATTGTGGGAGAGGAGTAATATCAAAGAGTGGAGTGAGCTTATTGAGTATATTGATGGAGCAATTACTGCAAAATGACCCCTCTATAGAAATATGATAGTTAAAGTGTCCACAGGCTCACATTTTGAGAGTTGTAGAGATACTTTCACAAGGAATAGTGTGTCTCTCTCTTGAGATGAGCAGTCGACACACAGTCAATGCACGTAGACTCACAGTCAATGCATGTAGACACTTACACACTGCAGGAAGGAGTTAGTTGGCGTCTCATGGCCCTACCTCCCAGATCTGCACTGTAAAGGCAGATTTAACATTTCCAGGGTAAAGGCACTTCAGCCTAAACTTTGGGGTGAAGCTACACTTTAAGCTTTGTTAGACTAAATGAGGATTTGACTCAACATTTGGATAAAGACTTGAGACTAAAAGATTTTGATATTTTCTACCTCTGCTATTTATATAGGGTACCTATTAACTCTCAAATCTCTTAATTTAGTTTTCTCGTAATTTCTTTATTTTCCTCCCCTGCAGCCCAGCCTGTCCTTTTCAAAACTCTGCTGCAGAAGGTTGAGAGACAGGCAGGGGAGATCGCTATTCTTCGCTGTGAGACCACAAAACCCGGCGCAATTGTTGTCTGGAGGCATGGTGACAGTGTGCTGACATCCAGCAGCAAGTACCACCTCAAACAGGAAGGGACTGTGGTCGAGCTTGTCATCTATAAACTGCAGGGAGCTGACTCTGGAGAATATTCCTGTGATACAGGCAGTCAAAGGACGTCAGCTGTCCTCACTGTGCAGGGTAGGCTCTGTCTTTGTAAGAGTGTCTTTCTCTCTGGAGTCACGTATTTCTTCGTGTCGCATCACTCTTTCTTGTTGATTGAACGCTTGAGTGTGAAATGCATCAATCTATCATCTGGAGATCACATGTGGGGTCTTCTTGACTGCATTTAAATATTCAAGCATTGTTTCTCATCCCACATGTGGTTCTGTTTTGCCGTTCACTCCTTTCAAAGCACGTGTTCACTTATACGCACCAGCACTTTTTTGTCGAGTTGATCACTGATCATCATTGTCATCATGTCATCATTTGCACCCATCTCTCCTTGCACTTCACTAAAATTAACACACCATACTCTGTTTATCTTCACTTGGTATTAAATAACAGCTTGACAGATAAATTCAATCACACTTTGATCACAGCCTGCAAAACCTAAGCGATGTCATTGTCAAGTATTTGCTGATTTAATTCGACAAACATCTAACTACTTTGCTGAAATGTATTTGCCAAACAGAGGTCGAGATTACCATACTGAAATTCTTGGAGAGCTGTGTTGTCTATGAGGGGGAAGAGGTCCGCTTTGAGTGTTTGGTTTCTCATGAGGAGGCACCTCTGGCCCAGTGGAAACTCCAGGACGTCCCACTACAGAATAATGAAATGAACCTGATCAAGACTGAGAGCCGAGTACACAGCCTCACACTCAGAGGTGTCACCACAGCCGATTCAGGAACAGTTACTTTCACTGTGGGAAACCACACGTCCACTGCTTCTCTAACAGTCAGAGGTAAGAGAAACATTTGGACCATTAAGGCAACAGTGCTTCTACAGCAACATCTGGACTTCTGTTCATTTCTTTTCTGTCGTCTGTCTCATGGGACACCAACTTTCTATCTTTTCAAAATGTTCCTGCAAAGAATCCCACTTGGATTCTTGTCACTTTCTTATTCATACCACGTGTTTACAGCATATCCCTTCGTATTTCTACAGTATATCTTGATCACCCCTCTATCCATTGAATTTGAACTAACGTCCCCTTTCCTTTTACACCTTGTTTTTAAATTACACATTGGTCATGCTGATCAATGTCTTTCCCTTTCATTCTTGTATTCTGCATTTCTCTTTTTTACTTTACACTTTATTCAAGTAACTTGTCGTACAGTAGCTTTTGATCCTGCAATGTTATGTGTTGTTAAACTCTAATAGTTTAACTCTTCCATTCCCTTTACTCCACTATAATGAAACTGACTAAACCAAATATACTTTGTTCTAGCTTTTTGTCAATAGAGTTAATATTTTAGCACTTAAATGCTGAATGTGTTACAGTACCCTTTTTTCAATTTTTAAGTGTAGTTTAACTAGTGACCTTTAACAGTGCTGTTCATGTTCAGTCTTAAACTTATCCTTTGTATGGAATTATTAAAATTGTGATTATAAATATGTCACTTCTGAGTACACTGTGTGTTGCGGTGGATGTGTTTGCCTCTGAAAAGTGTTAGATAAAGCATCCTAATCGATAATGGTTTTTCTAGCAGCTGCTCCTGTGTTATTCAAGAAGGAGCTGGAAAGTCAAGAGGCCACAGAAGGAGGCAAAGTCACCCTGTCCTGCGAAACATCCAGCCCTGATTGCAAGGTAACCTGGCGCAAGGGCTCGTCTGTACTCACCCATGGGGAGAAGTTCACCATTGATCAGAGAGGAACCACTCACACCCTGGTTATACACAAGCTGAAAGTGGAGGATAGTGGAGAATATACCAGCCATACAGGGGACAAGAAGAGCACTGCTACTCTGACTGTGAAAGGTAACAGCACACGTCTCTGGTCTCCTCTCATCTTCATCCCTGCCGAAGTCCATATTCCATTCATCCATGCCATTCGCAAGTAGTGGATGCATGCAGGAAGTTTTTTTGGTTTCATTTTAAATATTTGTATTTAGTCTATGATCTAATGCTAGTAAAATCAAGTATTTAGTAAATATTAAAATCAGTTTCTTTATAATGGATACACCCTCGTAGTTGATGCCTTCTGGAAGGTTTGCAGAGGTCTGATCACTGACCATCATCCCGTTCCCCCATCAGAGCGTGTCCGCATAATCCGAGAACTCTACGATATCATTGTCACCACTGGGCAGGATGCAGTCTTTGAAGTTGAGCTGTCACACTCGGGCGTGACAAACGGGGAATGGTGGCTTGCAGACAACCTCCTCCAGAATAATGATTTGAATCAAATGAGCAGCCAGGGCAGAGTGCAGCGTCTGACCCTGAAGATGGTAACCACGGATGAATCAGGAGATGTTGCCTTCGTAGTGGGAGAAGAGAAGAGTGTGGCCTGTCTGCTGGTGGAGGAGAAGCCCAAAGGTAAAGAGGATGACATGGTCACATGAAGAGTTTAATCATCACATCCATCTCCATCGACTACCAAAGAGCTTTGTCTTGGCAAATGGAAATCTGCTTGCACCATCATCTTCCACATATTAACTTGTACATGCGTTTTCTTAACACATTTTATAGGTTTTGCTAGTAACACTAATACAACTAAAGGAGACAACGTTCCTAACTCTGTGAGTTATTTTCTGAATTTGACAAAGATTTCAGTACTTCAGTTATAAAATGTTTGTCTCATTATTTAGTTTTTTCTTTTTTAGTGACACATGAATCTCTGATCTCTGATCAGATCGTGATTCACTTTGCCATAAAAAGTGTGGTAGCATATACTAATCAGTGCATGCTTTATTTTATTGTAAATAATGAATGCAAAAGCTATACAGAAAAAGAAGACTGCATATAAATGTTACTGATAATAAATCTCGTTACGGGTTTTCCACATTTACAGTGAAAATAATAGAGAAGCCGCACAACACTTTGGCATTAGAAGGTGAAACTGTCACTCTGGCCTGCACCATCTCTGACCCCAAGGCCAGTGTCACCTGGATCAGAAACAACGTGGCCATCCAAGCAGGTCTCAAGTGTGACCTGAAGAAGAATGGAGCTTTCCACCAACTTTGTATCCTCAACGTGGTGCCTGAGGACTCAGGAGTGTACACGTGTGACACTGGAGATGCACAATGTGAGGTCACGGTGACCGTGGAAGGTAAAGAATGATGCTACCTCTTAAAATATTCTTGAACCTCCGCTTCACTCAACCACACAGCCAGTCTGGCATCTGTGTGCATCAGCAAGACTTTCATATTAAGGCCCTCAGAGAAGTTGATCTTGTCATTTCAACATTTGCTGCAAAACATTTTTGTAAAAAAACATTTTACATTCTCACCAGGTGCCCCGGTGTTCTTCCGGAAAGAGCTAAAGAACGAGGATGCCATAGAGGGTGATGATTCTACCCTGCGCTGTGAGATGTCTAAGCCAGGGATTTGTGTTGAGTGGAGGAAAGGAGGCATTGTCCTCCAGCCCGGTAAGAAGTATAAGATGAGGCAGGAAGGATGCATTCAAGAGCTCTGTATAAGTAACTTGGATCCTGAAGACAGTGGCTACTACACCTGTGATGCGGGAGATCAGCTCACTACGGCTTCTTTGGCAGTGCAAGGTAGCCTTCCTACATTACTGTTGTGTTTGTCCTTGATTGTGCATTTTCTGTCATACTTTTTTAGGCTCAGTGTATGCGTATTTGTATTTTTCACTCAACAGTGAAAGAAGTCTTCATTGTTTCTGGTCTTAAGACCACCGACGTCTTTGTTGGGGAATGGGCAACCTTCTCCTGCCAGCTGTCTGGTAGGGCACCTGGCAAGGTGCAGTGGTGGTTGGATGGCTCCTTGTTGGAAAACAGCCCTTATAGTGAGATAGGGCTGAGCCAGGGCCACACCTACACACTGACCTTAAAGAACCTGGCCCCAGACGACTCTGGCACTGTCATGTTCAAAGCTGGCAGTTTAACATCAAGCTCCAAGCTCTTAGTCAAAGGTATCATGTTACAAAGAAAACCTTGAGAGACTGTGAGAAGCAGTTACTCTTTTTTTTAACCCTGCAGCCTATTTTAAATCCAAGGATGTGCTATTGTAACATAAATTTGCATATTAGTCATTGGCATTTATCATATTTTTTAATTAATTAGGATTTAAACAAGACTAAAATGTACTGAATCATCTCTGTTTTGCATCAACAAAATCTGGTGTAATTCCTCTTGAAAAAGTGAATATATCATGAACTACAATTGTTTCTTGCAGGGTTGCATAGAAAGTTTAAAGTTAATAATTAACGTTATATATGCCATTTTACATTTTAGTGCTCTGTCATGCATGAGAAGCATTTTTCCTAATTGTATTAATAATTGACAATATTGAGTTTTGTGCCATATGATTTGACACAACCAAAACCTACAACTTGGTGCAGCACCACAGCATAGTTTTGTTGGAGTAGAGCAGAGTAGCATTTAAACCAAGATAATAAATAAATTTAGTTCTTAAAGAATATAGGATTTGCCATGACGTTGCTCATCTACAGTCAATTACAAATACAGTCAAATTAGTGCTGTTAACAGTCTACCTTTAAAATGCACACCACTAAGTCAACAACCTTTCCTGCAATTCTGTATAACTCACAAAACTTCGATATGAAAATGAATTTGATACCTCAACAAATGAGCAGTGTTTATCACGTTGCTATTGTTTCCATAAGCAGTGTCCCTGACAGCTTGATCAGTCTTAAATGTTGAGGCTGTTATCTAAGTTGGATATTGTTGTTGGTTCAATGACCTCCTAGGTTTCTTGCTGCTGCCCCAACATTCCCCTGATGTTCTTTCATTTGATCTGTATAAATAACCTCTATGTTTTGGCTGGATAAAAGCCTTGACTATGTTTTAGTCAAATTAGTGTACTACTCAGCGATTTGATTACTTTTGAAGCTGTTGCCAAACATAGATTTTATAACTGCCTGTGGGAAACAGAGACATGGAAACAGAAGGGATCCTGGAAACAAGCTTCTGCAATTCTCAACTTGTTGTTCCGAGTCAGGCACCAGTAAAGTGTTGAAAGCCAGATGCAGGATCATGATTATTACATGGTTAACTGTGCAGCCCTAACAGAATATAAATATGCCTTGGTAATATAAAGGAGTGAGTCTTATTTGATGATTTGAGTAACAAACATTAGGTTTGGTTTTGGGGATGTTTAAGTTTGATTCATTTTTGATTGTACAGAGTTAGTCAAACACTTAATTGCGACAACAGAAATGTTGTGTTAGTAAAGTGCTGCTCCACCAATCCCTGCTGGCCGGCTGCTGTTGAATACTCATATTCCACCTCTACCGTCCCATCGCACTAAGCCCTGGCCCTAACCCTCAAGCACTAAAACTGCTAACCTCCCCATGATCCATCACTTCTGACCTCTCATTAGCTGTCAGCTCTTCTGGGCCTTTGGTTGTGACTATTACCCCGAACCTTGACGGTTGGGCTTTTTGACCCCCTGGATCCTTATACAATACAATACAGTGGTCACAGTGACCACTGAAATATGCATATTTTCTCATGGCACATGTGGTTTGTATTGGACAATCTATAAGTACATATTAATGTCATTCACATTATATTTTGTTAATCTACTTTTGGGGGTTAACAAGCCCATCTGTCATCCGGCATGTCCTGCATTGTATATCGTTATATCTCACGGTCAAGGTTTGACCCTATGACCCCTGACCCCAACCTCAGATCCCACAGTTGAAGTGGTGAGCGAGATGGAGGACCTTTGTGTGGTCGAAAACCAACCGGCTGAGTTCATCTGCCAGTATTCACGTCCAGTCAAGGCTCAGTGGAAGAAAGACGGGCAGCCATTGCAGCCTGATGGCCGAAGGGTGGTGGTGGAGCAGGACTGGAATGTGGCTCGCTTGTACATTAGCAGTGTGTCCGCTGAGGACAAGGGCGCATACTCCTGTGAGGCAGAGGGGACCTGTGTGGTAGCTTCACTTCATGTGGAAGGTGAGCTTCCCTCCACATGGAAAGACCACCAACCTTTAGGGAATCTCCTCTGCTCCCTAAAAGCTAACATTACTTTGGCCAAATAAATTGATCATCACAAAGACTGTGCTGTGTGTTGGCAAAATCCCATTCGAGTTCACGTTCTTAACACTGTAGCTGTCTGAATATCTTTTTTGAGTGTGCTCTTTCTTTCTTCATTTTTCCTGTTGTCTTCTACAGGCAAACCTATAACTATTGTTCAGGGCCTGGAGAATGCAGAAACCTTTGATGGAGGGGAAACACTGTTTGAGTGTGCCTTGTCTCGTCCTGAGAGCAAAGACTGCCGCTGGCTTCTCGATGGAAAACCAGTGAAGGAATCTCCTAATGTTGAGATTGTGTCATTTGAGAGTGGCCGTCGTCACCTGCTCCTGCTGAAGGAGTTGCATGTTAAAGACAGTTGCACAGTGACCTTCAAAGCTGGGACAGCATCCACATCTGCCCAACTCTCTGTCAAGGGTGAGAAAGCTGGAGGACTTTGAAGTTGTATTTACAAAAATCATGCATGAATCATGAATTCTTCTATTTCATTACTGTAACTGTCCTTTTACCTCTAATTCTATGAGTTTCTGTCATTAGGGTGGCAGCTGGACGTTGTGAAGGGTCTGGAAGACAAAGTGGCTGCCGTGGGAGAGAGGGTTGAATTTTGCGTCGAGCTGACTGAACCCATCCCCGCGGCAGAAGTAGCCTGGTATGCAAATGGAGTTGAGCTCAAGCCCAGCGATCTCTGGGCTGTGAGGGCTGATGGCTGTTCCTATCACCTTGTCCTGAGACACGCACCACTTCTGCCCCAGCAGGAAATTACATTTGCTGCTAGAGATGCCCTCTCTTTGGCCAAGCTCACTATCATCAGTAAGTATTTGTGAAGTTTATACATTTATAAATGAATCTCTATTTTTGAAGCGAGAGAAGAGAATGACATGTTACATTATCTTATCATCTCAACCTCTGTGTCTTCATAAAGTCATACTGTAATAGTGGTAAAGACATACTGTACCAAATAAAGACAGCACCCTCAGGTCAATACCAGCTAGGAGCATTGCTGCATTTTTTCCACCCCTTTTTTAGTCCATATACATATCCGTACTATCAATGATCCAATAAAGTCACCATTACCAAAAAAACTATTGAGGGCAGACATTGAAAGGCTGACATGACTTTCTAAGTATTTTTTCCTCAGTGTTCATATGAGCTGCTTTTCTTCCCCACAGCTGTACCTGATCCCCCAGAGGACCCAGAAGTCCTCAGTAAGACCAAACAGTCTATAACCCTCTCTTGGTTCACTCCACTACATGATGGAGGGAGTCCTATTCTTGGCTACAGAGTGGAGTTGCGGCTGGTAGACAGCGCCCTCTGGCTTCCGTGTCAGTCCGAACCTGTGTGTAACACAGAGTTTTTGGTTGAAAATCTTATCCCCGGGAGTGGCTACAGGTTTAGAGTGGCAGCCATCAACAGAGCTGGGACTGGAGAGCCTGTAGAGCTGCCTCAGACTGTGCAGCTTGGTGAGTGGATGTGTTGTTCAGTTCATGTGGAAGTAACATTTCTAATGCCCACCAAGACATTTTGTTTATTTTTGCTCAATGACTCCTAGTTTTTGTACAAGACGACAATAAGAGATTGAAAACCTTGTCATCACTTATGACAAGAGGAAGTATCTATACGAAATCCAAGACCGAAATAGTGTTACAAGCATCAATAATCTTGTATCACAACCCCAATCCACTGCCCCTGCTGTATGTGCAGCCTGTTGAACTTGCATTACTTTACTAATGTAAAAAAATTCAAACATTTAACATTGAAACACAATATACATTGTGATTGGTCCAATCATGATCAAATGATGATGCCTGTGGTTAGGCTGGTGTATTTATCTCAAGATGAATAGAAATCCACAGATTGGTATAATAACCAAACAGAGTATTAGGATAATTTTAATACCCTTACTTTTGACACTTGTATTATTTTTATCACAGATTATACATTTTATATGATGGGACATATAGACAGACTTATAAATTAACAGCATTTTAACAATTACCAAATTTTATGATAGCAATGTAGAGA